GGCCGCGGCCGCATCGGAACCGTTTCTTCTCTTAAAGTATGTAGGTTACCGGTGACGTCACCGCGCCGCCTCGTGACGTGTGCCCGAGTGAAATATGCAATGGTGCAGCGGAGGTTTCGAGCGGTTCATTGACGTCGATGCACCACGCGTCGCCGCGGCGCGTCGCAGCGCGCCGAATCAATTTTCGAAAGAGATCGAAAGTCCGACCCCCGCGAATCGGGCGTGAAATTTCTTTATGCCGGCTCGGGTATGTTTTATTCAGCGTCGTTCCGGCCGGCTCGACAACTATGCCGCTCCATGCTCTCGGCGACGGCTTGCCTCTCTTTCTCTCTCTTTCTCGTTCTTCGACCGAGAATCGAGTAACTTTTTCCCCGGCAGAACGCGATTCCGTTTTCGAACTTTGGCGTCCGGCGCGCAACAATGGCAACCGACGATCAAACAATTTAGCTTGATATTTCGGCCCGTCGATGTTCTCTTTGGAAATTTGGCGGAGCATCGGGGAATTTCGTGCAGCCGCGATTTCGATCGATCAATTCTGTTAGAGCGCACAGCCTGCGTAATGTACACACGGTGTATTTTATGCTCGCGTTTTGTAATTTCGTTGAGAGCCGATATGGTGGGCGTGCCGCTGCCACGAAGCAATTTCGTCTCGACGCCGCTCTGTGGGGATTTTTTAACTTTCGAGACCGCAAATGAAAGCTAGGAAGTTCGTACTTTATGACAGATTCATCGAAGTTTCTCGAAAAATTTAATTCTATGCTGGAAATTGAGAAAAATCTGTCGGAAGTATCCAAAAAGCACGATTTATTGCTGTGCGGTTGCTTTGGAATAACTTCGCGATGCTTTCCCGTGGAGACTTTTAAACTTCTGATATGTCAAATGAGAGCTAGAAGTTCGTACTTTATGCTAGATTTATTTCGGTTCGTAGAAAAAGACAATTTTATGGCGGAAATTGAGATGAATCAGTCGCGCGTTGACACAAAAGCACAATCTAGGGGCACGGGATTGTTTCAAAATAATTTCTCCATGCTTTCTCGTGGGGTCATTTAAACTTTTCATATCGCAAATGAAAGCTGAAAGTTCGTACTTTATAATAGATTCATTTAGATTTGTAGAAAAAGCCAATTTTGTGACGGTAATTGAGAAAAATCAGTCGAAAGTATCCAAAAACACGATTTATTGCCATGGGGTTGCCTTGAAATAATTTCTCGATGCTTTCCCATGGAGCTCTTTTAAACTTCTGATATCGCAAACGAGAGCTAGAAGTTCGTACTTCACGATAGATTTATTTAGGTTTCCAAGAAAATTCGATATACCGTCGGAAATATCTAGAAACCAGTTGATCGTGCCAGAAAACGTGATTAATCGCCCGAGGACATCGGACAGCTTCAAAATAATCCTTTGCTATTCAAAACGAAGATAGATTAAATAAACAAGCAGCAGTCACAGGATACGAAATTGAAATTGATCGCCTTAAATTTATGACCGTTACTACAATTACTTGCATGCTCGAATTGGAAGCGGAGAAAACGCTGGCGGGGTCGTTCATGTTGCAAATTACAGGATTAATAAGAGCGCGTTTAGATTGCGGAGCCGCGACCGCTAAGAATCAATTAATTTCGTTCCAGTTGCAACCGAAATTCGATTCCCCGGGGACTATTAGGAGCGACCTTTTCCCGACATTTTGCTAATAATCCCGGAGTTCGTGCGTCCCCGTCCGCCGGAACGCAAGCAATTTTCAACAGCAATTATTCTAGGCCGAATAGTCGTCGTTCCTCTCCAATTACCATGGAATAACAACCTGCTTTCCGTTCCGTAGGCTCGAGAAAAATTGTGCGCGACAGTCGTTCGGCTGGTCCCCGGTGAAGTATCAATAAATTGGACGGTGTTCGAGGGTCGCCCGGGTAAACTCGATCGTTTTCCGCAAAATGTTAACCGGCGCAGGGAGGCGACGCGTTCAAAATTTTACGAGAGAGAGAGACGAAAACGGAACGGCAACGGAGAGCGGATCGTGACTCGGGTATCACCGATTCCTTGAATTGTTAACGAAACATTGAACGACGCCGAGAATCGCCGGGACCGGCGCGGCCGCGGCGCACGCGAGATCATATTTTGCAGCTCCCGGGGCGAGGCGAAAATAGTCCGCGTCTGAAATTGAAATGAAAAACAGTCCGCGCGGGCTGAGTCAATTAACCAGGTCGGTCTGAACGCGAGAGCCCCGTTTCCCTATTGAGACTTCAGACTGCACGCCCGAGGCCGTTAGGCAAACGAGAATTTAACGAAGATACGAGGATCGCCTCGAAGAACGAAACAGAACACCGAAATGGAATTATTCCCGTAACTTGGCTCGCGAAGGCGGGGCAACTTATTCAATTACGAATCGGAAACTTCGCTTGTCTTTCGAGCCTGAATAGGGCCAATTAACGAGATATCAAAGTTCCCGAGCAATTAAGAATGATCGGAGCTCCGACCGTCCTGCTATGCGTTTCTTCTCCATTGTCCCGTATACCGGACGTTCCACAAATTTTTTTCCACCGTCCGACTTCGCAGGTTTCGGTGCACAAATATTTTTTCCCGTTTACACGATGTTCGACGAGTACTCTTGTAATTTTCTTGTAACGACTCGTTCGCTCGTTGCATTTTTTAAAAATTCTTCAAGTCGATGATATAATTATACCGTTTTACATGTAGCATTATGACTCAAGAATTTGTTCATCCGTCTTCCACTTCAGATATTCGTGAAGAACAATTTTTTCTTGTTTATACAAAGGTTGGTAAGTACTCTTGAGTTTTTTTTGTAATGATCCGTTCACTGATTGCATTCTTAAGCAATTCTTGAAGTCGCTGACGTAATTACACCGTTTCGTATATGCGGCCTAAAATCAAACATTTTTTTCGCCATTTTACACTTCAAATATTCGTGAAAAATAATTTTTTCTTGTTGAAATAAAGGCTAATAAGTACTCCTGAAATTTCTTGTAACAATCCCTTCGCAAGTTACGTTTCAAAAAATTCTTGGAATCGCTGATCCAGTTCGCTGGATCGCGGTACACGAGACGAACTCGAGAAATACTTTCGCCATCGAACTCCGCAAGTTTCGCTAGAAGGATATTCTCCCCGATGAAACGAAGCTTAAAAAACAGTTCGGTGTTCGTTGTGCAGCGTTGATTCAACCATGCCTGTGATTAAAAACGATTTTCAAACTTGCTAATGCTCGTGCAACGCGAGCTATGATTTATTAAAAAAAAAAAGTTTCGACAGAACGAATGTTTCCAACAGTTGTTTAGCATCGCAAGGAGCACAGAAAGTTGGCGAAGCGTAGAAAATTCTTTTAGGAAAGTGGAACAAGGCGTGGCGAGAGAACGAGACTCGTATCGCGGAAGTAACAGCATTATCAATCATTTCTAATAGTCTGCAATAATTTTTAAAGACTTTTAGTACTTTAATACTTCGCGATAGCTTTTAATACTTCGCAATAATTTTTAATACTTTCCAATAGTTCCACATACTTTTTCATAATCATCAAATTGTCCTTGACTGTTCTCAGTTCCTTTGATGTGTTTTATAATAGTTATATAAAATTATTGGCGCTACCTTGAAATACCGTAACTAAATAAATCGACAGGTTTTTAATCCATCGAATAATAAAAATAATATATTGAATTTTCTATTAATAATTTCTATCTGTTCATAATTGATTTTTTTTTTTTAAGTTAAAATACTATGAACAAGTTAATAGAGACATTTTATGGGTACGTTAAGGGAGAAATATCACTTTTTTTCAGTAAAATCAAGCAAGTACTCTGGTGAGCGCCGAGTCGTTTGGAAAAAGAAAATTCGTTTGCATCCGGCGGTTGTGGCGCGGCAGGCCCTAGATTCAATTATTCAAATGAGTCCATCCGAGTCATATTACACTGCGACGCGGAAGGTGTCGGACTTTCGGAAACTTCTTAACGAGTTTCCCAGCCTCTGCAGCTCGGCGCACAATTTTTAACGATGCACCGAACGCTCGTGCTAACGGTTTTCCCTCCGTCCCTGTATCCGGCCGAGATGCGGAGGACCTCGTTCGTCTTCCTGCGGAACTTAGCACCCACTGCACCCTCGTCCGGGATCGATGATGTTCACCGACCGCCTCTACCTCCAACCTTGCTACAAGATCTCCGAAACCAATCGAGGACGAGATTTCTACGTTGTCTGACAAATTGCAAATCGATTTCACGTCGTCCACCATTTTCGCTCCACGAAACTCATACGGTCTTAGACGGCCGTGGATGTGCCGGATCTAGCGCCGATTCTGATAAATAAACTCCAAATGAATCGAGCATTTCGGCTGACCGAAAGTTAACGCTTGCTGAATTTTCACCGGAATGGTTTCCTCTTCAGTGGAACGATATCTTCTGAATGATATTTTGTTGAAAAATATCACTGACAAAATCTTTCTGTTCGTTGAACATTGTGATCTTTAAAAAATACTTTGCTTGAAACAGAATCAACCAAATTTGATCAGACCTAGTATTGAGCAATGTTCCAGCAGAATCTGAAATTTTTCCAAACCCAATGTTAGCGACAGAATTTTACTGTTAGTGAAATGATATGTTTTAAAAGAGAAACTTTACCTAAGCCAGAGCTAAAGAGACATAATCGGACCTAATCTTGTTGAAAATATGACTGGCAAGATTTGAGAATATCCAAAAAGTAAATATTCTCAATATTCTATTCTAGATATTTGCTTTACACACGTGTGCTAATAATTCTAATTATAAATTAAATCGTAGTATTCGGTGTATTGAAAATTCTTAGACCACTTTTATAATTATTGTATTTTACATATATAAAACTTACAACTTTCAGAATTTTATTCGAGCGATTACTTAACCTAATTAAACGAATACAGAGTTACTATGATGAATTTTTATAACTTAAAATAGGTGGAATATGATAAATAGAAATAGAATTTCTATTGATTGAAAATCGCAGACTAAACGCAACCTGAATGAAGCTAAAGAACGCCATGCTTCAACAGTTCGTCTCACAAATCAATCCTATCGCTATGACCAATGAAAATGTTCATATGATCTGTTTGAAGCGACTTTCTTTGATCCAGAAACTGACATAGAACATAGTCTTCATCGTCCTAGTTCCTATCATCATTGTTCCTCAAGACTTAAATCCTCTTTAACATCTATAATTAAAATAATCAACTTAATAAATCAGCATTAAATATCATTCTAAATTAAATCAGTTTCTCTAGAAATAATCCTAAATCATAGAATAATTAACAGCCTCACCTAAACAATGCTTACCAAATGATATTTTTATCTATTGTAATAACCGATGCACCAGAAGTTACATCGAGCTTGCATAACCCAATTTCCTCATACTGATATTGTACCTGTACGCTGATATTGTAACGATCATTGTCACAATGAATTTCTTTGGAGTTTCCTGTAAAATCATGTTTAACAACAACAATAATGTACTATCATTATATTGTTTCCATATGATATGATTTCCTAAAGCTATATTATTTCATAAATATATAAACCGCACTGAACAATTAGATACCACATATCTCGTGGTAATAGTAATACTTTCACACCTTTTCTACAATATACACACGTGTATACATCGAGCATTGTACCGGCATGTGCAACAATAGAGGTTAGAACGATGTAAACGGAGAATACATTTGTAACAACATGAACAGCAACACTTACATTCGCGACAGGAAGACGAGCCAATGTCTTAACAATATTCCGATATCCTTGCATGACAAACACTACACTTCTCACAAATTTTAATAAAACTGAGCACAGCTGACAGGACACAAACGTCAAACGCAACAGGTGCCGGAAAATGCGCGCGGAATAGTTCTCCATGCGCTTTCGAAATCGGCCGATAGAGCGCGAATGTACGTGTATCGATATGTATCGAAGAATCGAGAGCCAAGTATGCACATAATTGTTTCAATCGGCGCAGTTTCCTCGAACGTGTAACACGTAGTTTCATAAATATTTAATGTCTGGACTAATTCAAATGTGTTCTAAAGTGCTTTCCCGTGTCAAGAATGTTCAACTGTATAACAACCTCCAGAATTCAGAAGTAAAGGGTAACGTAACTTTCTCTCAGTAACTTTATGCTATTTCTCTTGTTTAACCTCCGACGTAACCTTTCTTTAGACAATATTGTATAGCATTTCAAAGCACCTCGTTAATCAGAATTTAAGGATGAATTACTAGAGACTGCAGATTTTTATGCAAAATAAGAACTGTCTACATTAATTGCAAGATTTATCTTATATTATATTATAATTATAATTATTTATTATATTATTTAATTATAATTATATTATATTATAATTATCTTATATTATAATTTATATTATAATTTATCTTATTAATAATTTGAACGAGTCGATAGGTATATAACAGTGTTCGTGAGTACTTCAAATGTCTTTCCTATACTAATTTTTCTCATAAACACAGCAAATCTTATTGTAGGCTATTAATTGCACGTTTCATAGAAACGAATGTAATGTAATTTTTTAAAAGTAGAAGCTGTATCGAAGCTGTATCATACTTTTGCAGATATTTCTTGCTGTTGTTCCCAATGTAACAGCAACTTATTTGATTTGATTCTCGAAAATTGCGAATTCGGTGAACGATTCGAATGCTCTGAGTCAAAATTGACCTAGCTACCGCTTCGCGGGGGTTGATGTAGTGCGCAATCGATTCGTGCGCGAGCTCTCGCCCCGTGCAGCTGTACACCTGTACAGCTGGCACAGGTGTATCCGTGCAGGTAGACCGCAACGTGTACGGCCGCCTTAACAGCCAGCTTCCGGCAACTTGCACGTTCCGTCGGCGCGTGAACTTTCGGCTCCCGGCTCGGGTCAAACGCGGGATAAACTCGGTACACCGATACTATTGATTTTTGCGACCGGTGCAGAAAGAAGGGCGGCGGAGAAAGTGGAGGATAGGTGAGGTCAACCCCCTTTTCAGGCAGGCCAGCATTAAACAGGCTTATGCCCGGCTTATCCTTTAACGTTCCCCGTCTGCTCGGCAAAATTCATGTTGGAGCTTGTGCGGCTACCTTTTGTTTCTCTGCTACCTAACCGATAAAAGTCCGGGTCTAGAATTTTCTAGAATATCACCGGAATTTTCGGGGCTTTTTCCAAAACCGTGCTTTCGGCTTAATCCAAAGGGCCCGGATAATTCTGCTCCATTTTCAGGACACAGGGCTCGTGTAGCCGGTTTAATTTAACCACTTAACAACAATTTGACGGCCGCGCGAGAAACCTGGAAAGTTTCACGAAATTAAAGTATTTTAATCGAGTAAATTGGAATTTGCGAAGCGACGTTATACTCTTTTCACATTCTTATCTCTTGCAAATTTTAATGTAATTGAGAAGTTATAATGGATCGGCGCAGAAATGAATTTTTAAATAATTCTGTCGGCCAGAGACGAGTGACTCGGTCAAAGTATTCACAGTGTAATTGTGATACACCTTCTTTAACAGTGCAATTATGAAGTAATTTTTTAATAGTGAAATTATGAATTAATTTTTTAATAGCGCAATTGAGGATTACTCTTTTGACAGTGCAATTATGAAATACGTTTTTACTGCAATTATGATACACTTCATTGTTAATGTAAACAGAATAAATTTTGTTAACGATACAATTGCGATTTTGTTGTTAAATTTTTTTGAAAACTGCGCCGCGTCAAAGTATTAGATTGCAATTGCAAAGTCGGAGAGACAACGGCAAACATTTTCAGCGAAGAGACACTTCCGACTCGGTCGATAACGCTACTAGTCTTCTGTGACTTCACGCAGCGTCCATTATCGCAGTAAGTCATCCGACGAGCTCGGAGCCAGAACGAGCCGATTTCCTCCACTTGTAAGTACCTGCGTGATACACGATAGCAACGCGAGAACTCCCGCGAGGCTTCACGTGCCATTTCCAGCGGCCACGGAGAGAACCCTCTTCGCGGCGCACTAAATGAAAACGTTCCCGGGGAACTTGACCGCAATTGCGCGGACCAAGTGCAATTTCTTTCCCTGCTCCTACAAATTGCACGCAAGCGATAATTAAACGCCGTCCCCGGCGATATTTCTATGGGTTCTTCAGGAAGAACCTGAAGAGCACCATCTGGAGGCCGCCGCAGACAGCTACAGTTTGAGAACTTGTTCCCAGCGGATATGCAAGACGAGGAATTTTCATATTTTCAACGGTCGTTCGCTCGGCGATTAACATCGCCGGGATTTCTTCAGAAATGAAATCTTGAGAAATGGCGGATTTACTTATTATTCGGGGCAGCTTCATTTTGGGAATTTTTTCTGACCAAAGTACGGAACTAAAAATTTTTTCATTTTTACACAATATGAAGCCAACATTTGGCTATGCTTTAACCATTTTTCGAAGCGAAAATGTTGAAAAATGGCGGAGATATTTGTTATATTAACACCTTCCGTGCGGATGCTTTGTTCGATTAGCGCCATTTTGGGGATTTTTCTCCGGCTAAAGTACTGAATTAAAAAATTGTGTAATTTTTTAAGATACAAAGTGAACATTTGTACGTACTCGAAAATATTCTGAATTAAAAATATTACAAAATGGCGGACTTACGATTTTTTAACTAACCCCTTGTTTTAATCGCCCTTATTTTCTCTTGCACGCTGTTCGTGCTCGTAAAAGTATTTCCAAAGATTCGAACGTTCAAGATATCGAAGCGAATCGTCGCCCACATCAAGGCGTACATATCGCGCATAACGTTCCTGCAAAGTTCCAAGAAAATCCCGTGAACAGTTTCCGCGAACTCGCGGCAGTCTAGGAAACGTAGTTCCGTAAGAAGCTCCGAGACACCATTTTCCCCCGATAAAAATGTACAAGCTCGATTTCAGTAAACTTCCAGACAGGCGTATCCGCTTAGGGAACACCGAGGCGATTTTTTCGGCGAGCTTCTCTCGTTACCGTCGCGATCGAAGAATTCCCTTTTCTCCTCGCGCCGTAACTACGTTAACTGCGCCGCCGGGCCGAAGCAGCAGCGTCTTATCGAATGAAGAGAAAGTGGTTGTTTGCAGCGTCGAATTCTGCTGCGAGATTATATCAGGGCATATTGCTGGCAATATTGTTAGCTAGCTATACCGTAACTCCATTAAATTCAGAATTCCTGGTTAATTGCAACTCGCCGCGAAACTTTCCTCGCTGCATTTATACTTGGTGCTTTCGGTGCACAGTGGCCTCGTGGGCGGTCTCGCGCGGCCAAATTTGAAGAGGCCGTACATATTGGCAGCACTCGATAGGATGTAATTGATCGGTAGCGTCAATGCGTCGTGCGACATAATGTAGCATATAACATAATATAAGTGTAATACAATAACATAGACTAACATAATATAAGACACAATATAAGTGTATAGTATGGTATATAGCATAATATAGTATATGTATGCAGTATAATATGTTATATATAGTATAATATATAGCATAGTATAGTATAGTATATATAACACAATAATAATATGAGTAAAAATATAATTATGCAATGAAGTTCGCAACGAAAATAATACGTATACTAATACATGAATATATATATATATATATAATATATGTACTATAGTATACTATAATACTATACTGTAATACTATATAATGTACTATAATATACTATAATACTATACTGTAATACTATAATGTACTATAATATACTATAATACTATACTGTAATACTATAATACTATAATATATATACTATATGCTATGTATATAGTGTAATTATTACATTTAATTTGCAAATATAAAATTAAAACATGCAGTACAATTTACGATATCTTCATTCTCCCAATACTATTTATAATAATTTCCTCGTCCAATTATTTTCCAAGACAGCAAAAGATTTGAAAGCTTAGAAAAATTTTTTTAATTAAAAAAACGACTTTGGCCAGAACAACCGGGTCTCCAGCCCACCGCTGTCTGCGCCGAAGTGCGCGTATTTCATAGTCGCCGGCGACAAATATTTTCAGCCGATTCGCGACTGTACGGAAAGCAATCGATCGATACGCGGCTCGTATCTCGATGCTGCCGGCGACGCCACTTTCAACTCGAACGCCTAAATTCATGGGTTAGACGGGGATACCATCGTGTTTCCACGGCATTAATCAAACCAACCGATTGGTTCGGGACAAGAAAAATTGCCGGCCGGAGCTGAATGCGCTCCGATACGGAGTATCATCGTAAACGAGCCAGACACCGCCACATGAGGGACAACCTATCGTCGCCGAGGCATCGTCATGGCAGACGACGACGACCAGGACGAGTTTCTGGACGTGGAGGAGGCTGACGAGGCACCGGGTTCGCCTTCGGAGGTCGTCGGGATCGCGGAGGGGCCGAAGACCGGATCACAGTCGCCGTCTTTAGCATCGGGAACTGTTCAACCATCCGTGAAGTCGGTCGCCGAAGGCGCCCAAGTGTCCGGGACAATCAAGACAGGGTCCCAAATATCCGGATCAGTAAAGTCAGAGTCCCCACGATCGGGAAGTGCGAGAGGATCGGTCGCGGAGCCAGTACCCCAAGATGGCAGGAAGAGCCACGAGACCTTCGAGGAATCGTCCAGAAGCGACGAGGTGATCAGTAAGTCCCAGGAGGTGTCTCTGGCCGAGAAACGGAGCTCGCTGGACGACCTAGGCGACAAGAAGGACCCGGGCCAAAGAGCGAAGCCGAGCAAATGGCAGAGACAGTGCAGCAGACAGTTCCGCGACATGATAGGCAAGAGAGTGCTGAAGAACGAGGAGCTGGAGAGGCAGAAGGGCGACCTTCACCAGCGTCTGAACATCTTGGAATGCTCGATGCCGGCTGTGATGGTCTGGAACATCTGGCGGATGGCGCAAGGCTCGAACGCGCCCTGTCTCCAGCAGGTGCTGGAGAAGCAGTTCCAGGGTCCGGCATCCGGAGAAGTCTACTGTCCCAGCACCCCTAGTCGCCACTTCGACTGCAGGGTCAGAGAAGCTGAAGCGGAGAGGAAGCAAGCGGAGAAGAGAATGGACGAGGCTAGGACTTTGTGGGCTGAGAAGATGGCGAGCTTGGAGGACAGAGAGGAGAGGCTGCGGGAAGCTAAGAGAGTCCAGGAGGAGCAGCAACAGAGGATCGAGCAGCTGACCAACGAGGTCCAGAAGCTGAGGGAGACCAANGCATAGTATAGTATAGTATATATAACACAATAATAATATGAGTAAAAATATAATTATGCAATGAAGTTCGCAACGAAAATAATACGTATACTAATACATGAATATATATATATATATATAATATATGTACTATAGTATACTATAATACTATACTGTAATACTATATAATGTACTATAATATACTATAATACTATACTGTAATACTATAATGTACTATAATATACTATAATACTATACTGTAATACTATAATACTATAATATATATACTATATGCTATGTATATAGTGTAATTATTACATTTAATTTGCAAATATAAAATTAAAACATGCAGTACAATTTACGATATCTTCATTCTCCCAATACTATTTATAATAATTTCCTCGTCCAATTATTTTCCAAGACAGCAAAAGATTTGAAAGCTTAGAAAAATTTTTTTAATTAAAAAAACGACTTTGGCCAGAACAACCGGGTCTCCAGCCCACCGCTGTCTGCGCCGAAGTGCGCGTATTTCATAGTCGCCGGCGACAAATATTTTCAGCCGATTCGCGACTGTACGGAAAGCAATCGATCGATACGCGGCTCGTATCTCGATGCTGCCGGCGACGCCACTTTCAACTCGAACGCCTAAATTCATGGGTTAGACGGGGATACCATCGTGTTTCCACGGCATTAATCAAACCAACCGATTGGTTCGGGACAAGAAAAATTGCCGGCCGGAGCTGAATGCGCTCCGATACGGAGTATCATCGTAAACGAGCCAGACACCGCCACATGAGGGACAACCTATCGTCGCCGAGGCATCGTCATGGCAGACGACGACGACCAGGACGAGTTTCTGGACGTGGAGGAGGCTGACGAGGCACCGGGTTCGCCTTCGGAGGTCGTCGGGATCGCGGAGGGGCCGAAGACCGGATCACAGTCGCCGTCTTTAGCATCGGGAACTGTTCAACCATCCGTGAAGTCGGTCGCCGAAGGCGCCCAAGTGTCCGGGACAATCAAGACAGGGTCCCAAATATCCGGATCAGTAAAGTCAGAGTCCCCACGATCGGGAAGTGCGAGAGGATCGGTCGCGGAGCCAGTACCCCAAGATGGCAGGAAGAGCCACGAGACCTTCGAGGAATCGTCCAGAAGCGACGAGGTGATCAGTAAGTCCCAGGAGGTGTCTCTGGCCGAGAAACGGAGCTCGCTGGACGACCTAGGCGACAAGAAGGACCCGGGCCAAAGAGCGAAGCCGAGCAAATGGCAGAGACAGTGCAGCAGACAGTTCCGCGACATGATAGGCAAGAGAGTGCTGAAGAACGAGGAGCTGGAGAGGCAGAAGGGCGACCTTCACCAGCGTCTGAACATCTTGGAATGCTCGATGCCGGCTGTGATGGTCTGGAACATCTGGCGGATGGCGCAAGGCTCGAACGCGCCCTGTCTCCAGCAGGTGCTGGAGAAGCAGTTCCAGGGTCCGGCATCCGGAGAAGTCTACTGTCCCAGCACCCCTAGTCGCCACTTCGACTGCAGGGTCAGAGAAGCTGAAGCGGAGAGGAAGCAAGCGGAGAAGAGAATGGACGAGGCTAGGACTTTGTGGGCTGAGAAGATGGCGAGCTTGGAGGACAGAGAGGAGAGGCTGCGGGAAGCTAAGAGAGTCCAGGAGGAGCAGCAACAGAGGATCGAGCAGCTGACCAACGAGGTCCAGAAGCTGAGGGAGACCAAGGCGGTGGACGACGGCGCCTGCGAAGCTGGTGAGGTGATTGAGATCAGAGATTCGAGGCTTTCACGGCACGGCGTCATGCAGTTCTTGCTGCCGAGGCTTTAGGGCACGAGCCTCGGTGGACTTACTTTCCAAACGTTTCGCGAGCATTCCAGCTTCATCAGGGAGTCAAAGAGGCTGATAAGATCACCGATACTGGTGTTCGACCGGTCTACTTTGACCCCCTGATGGAGTTCGGTCCTACATCGATCGCGATACCTTGGTAAAATAATTCCACAGGGACACGCCTTTCACCCGGCAGTAAGAACCGCATGATCTAGATCGCCTTGAGCTGACACGTCGCCGAAAAAACTTCGGAAGTTTAAGTAGCAAGCGTTGCTCCAGGTGAATGCGGAGCGATAGAGTGCAAGAAGAAGTGGCTGGACAAGGTGCCCAGCAGCGCGTCGATCCGCTCGACGGACATCGAGTGCCTCGAGAAGCTCCAGGAGCTGGCCCAGGCGGAGCTCTGCATGAAGAGGCAGATCGCGGATCTGGAGCGTCGCGAGGAGGCTTACATGAGGACCCTCCAGAAGGCGGACGAGCTCTGGTGCAAGACGGAGGAGGACGCGGCCGCTGCTCTTCAAGAAAAGGCTACGGAGAGTCAACAGATGGCTGGCAGAATAGGCGAGTTGGAGGACGAGGTGGAGAAGCTGCGGGCCAGGCTGAACACCTGCCGAGGGGAGCTGGAGAAGTTCATGAGCATCGGGAAGATCGAGGCTCTGATTGGCCGGGATGACGACTTTGCTGATGTCAGGGACTCGCAGATTAGTGCTGTCGTGGATGTGACGGACGGCGTGACTGGAAGAGACGATTACTATGTCGATGCTGACATGGTGGACCCTTCTATGATTGGCGCTCTTCTAGGAGATGCTTCTCTAAGAGACGCTTCTATCAGAGACGCTTCCCTAAGGGACGCTTCTCTAAGAGACGCTTCTATCAGAGACGCTTCCCTAAGAGACGCTTCTATCAGAGACGTTTCTCCAAGTGACGCTCCTATGAAAGATATCCCCCTGAAAGACGTCCTCGCAAGTGGCGCTGTCATTCGACCCGGAGACCTAGCAGAGACCACTGTGATGGAGATCCGAGGGTACCTGGATCAGATAGCGTCTCTGTCCGAACTCGACGATCCTGGCAGGTTCTGTGGCCCGGAATTCGACTGCAATGACGTAGGATTGACAGAGACTGGGCTTCTCGAAGAGGAGAGGATCGCTCTCGAAGAGAATCGTGTCACTGCTAGGGAGTTGCTGGAGATGTACGGACTCCTTGAGATCGCCGAGAGGATGACTTCTGACGGAGAGGCGGGGGTTAAGATGACTAGGAAAGTTGAGGAGCATTTTGAGGAAGTCACGGTGAAGGAAACCGTGACTTTGGCGGAGGATGCTGATGAGACGGTTCAGAGGGAGATTGTTTATGACGAAGAGGTGCTTGAAAAGGAAACTGTCTTCGATGATCAGGAGTCTGAGGAGATTGTTTATGATATGGAAGGGTCTGAGAGTGATATTGTTTATGAATACGCGTTGGAGGAGGATCTGGAAGAGTATGCCATGATGCCTGAAGAGGACCAGGAGTTTCAATTTGCTCCTTCGAAGACGGATGGAGATGTCTTGGTACCTCTGGAACAACTGTCCTCGTGGCAGGGACACGTGTATGCCATTCGATCAAAGATCGCTGTGCGTATCTTCTTCGATAAAGCGTAAAGATTTGGATTTTCACTCGCGAAAGTTGTTACTTGTTTAGAATATTTTGTTTCTTTCGGACATAGCCAGGACTTCGTTCGAAGTGCTATAAATCGGTGAAAAAAAATCGTAGATCAATTTTTTTGGGCTCGTTGGAAAGCTGAATCTTTAATCTTCAAGACCATGCTGGTTTCCGTGATCAAAAAAATTTTTTAAACTCCGTGCAGAAATCTAAATTTGCGCAACTCCGAAAAATCGGTATTGTTGCTTTCCTCGCTATCAACTAATGAAAAAAGTGTTCCAATTGAAAAATAACTATCGTCGTTCGAAAGCGGAAGCTTCGCGCTTTAAAACGAGCCAAGGCACATTGCCATACCACTGTTTCTCACAAAGTTTCATCGACTTGAATGCCAACAATTTTTCATTTGAAACTCTGCGATGTCGCATACTAAAAGCTCGGCCGAGTAAATAGAAGCCTATTAAAAGTTCTTCGTACAGTTAAGCAAGGGCTTTTAATTGTTTTCTCGTTTAGGATTGTCCAAGCTGCATTGCCGTGGACGGAGTGGCCGAGATCGTGGCCGAAGAACTGGCAGGCTACACTGGCGTAATTAATTACGTTTCTTATTATTCAACAAAGCCGTAGAAACGCCGGAAGTTTTCTACTTAAAGTCACCGAATTAACTTGAAAATTTCATTCCGCAGAGAACGATGAAACTCGAAGTAGCATACCGAATGCCTAAAGACAAGGAACCTGCAGAATTGGAGTACGAGAGAGAAGCACCGCTTGTTGAAAAACTTGAGATGAAGTACGAACAAGTTGAAGAGAAGATAAAAAGGGAGCCAGAATCAGTATCAGATTTTGTGCCTGTGGAAAGAGAAGAGAGGGCATTTAAGACAGAACCTGAAGTGCCTGTAGTCGAAGCGAGAGCACCTGAAGAGGTCGTAGAAAAAGTACATGAAGAAGTGAAAGTAGAAGTGGTGCGTGTTGAAGTTCCCGAGCCGATGAAAGAAGCAAGACCAGTGGAAGAAGCAAAAATAGAAAGGGCTGAACCGGTACCAGTGAGAGAACCTGATGAAATTGATAGACCACCAGTAGAAGAAGTCATAAAAGATGAAGCAGAAAGACCCCCAAAAGAAGAAGTCATAAAACATGAAGCAGAAAGACCTCCAAAAGAAGAAGTCATAAAACATGAAGCAGAAAGACCTCCAAAAGATGAAGCGGTAAGGCCTCCGAAAGATGAAGCGGTGAGGCCTCCAAAAGATGAAGCAGAAAGGCCTCCAAAAGATGAAGCAGAAAGGCCTCCAAAAGATGAAGCAGAAAGGCCTCTAAAAGATGAAGCAGAAAGGCCTCTAAAAGATGAAGCAGAAAGGCCACCAAAAGATGAAGTAGAAAGACCTCCAAAAGAAGTCACAGAAGATGAAGCAGAGAGGCCTCCAAAAAAAGAAGTCACGAAAGGTGAAGCAGAAAAGCCTCCAAAAGAAGAAGTCACAAAAGATGAAGCAGAGAGGCCTCCAAAAGAAGAAGTCACGAAAGATGAAGCAGAAAGGCCTCCAAAAGAAGAAGTCGCAAAAGATGAAAGAGTCAGAACACCAAAAGAGGTACTAGAAGCACCAGAGCCAACGGTGGAGAGAGAAAGAGTACCCGAAGAGAAGCCAGAAGAAGAGAGACCACTAGAATCGAAGGAACCCGAAGAGGTACCAGAGATTGTCAAGATAGAAAAAAGAGAACCTGAAGATAAGAAACCAGAGCCAATTGTGGAGGAGCAAGTGGCAAAAGCTGAAGAAGTGCCGCTTAAAAAGGAGCCAGAATTCGGAGAAGAAGATGACGAGGAAACAGACTTCGACGAGCTGATGTCAGAAGGAGAGGAGATTGAAGAAGTTCACGTGGAGCAACTTGAGGAATTCGAGGACGCGATTGAGGTGGATATAATATCAGTGGAAAAGGCGCCGGAGCCTGAGAAAGAAGAAGTTACATTGGAAGAGGAACCCGAGGAGATAGTGGCAGTTCCAGTGGCAGAAGAAGTGGAACCAAAGGAAATAGAAATGGACATGCTTCCAGTGGAAGTAATACCAGGAGAGATGGTGATAGTACCAGAAGAGGTCGAAATGGAGGAACTTCCAGCGGAAGAGGTGGTCGAGGTCAAGCCGGAGAAAATAATCCCAGAAGTGGAAGAGATCAGGGTGGACGTGATTCCAGAAGAGGAGCCTCCCGAAGAGGAGAAAATCGTCGACATATCAGTGGAGGAAGCGGAAGAGGAAATCGAAGCTGAAGTGCCAGAGATGGAGAAGATAGAACTGGAGGTGGAGCTACTAGAAGACGCGAAGGTGGCCGTCGAGGTAGAAATTGAAATAGCTCCCGTCGAAGTCCCTGACATCCTTGAAGAACCCGAGGAGATCGAGATCAGTATAGAGGAAGAGTGCATCTGCAATGGCATCTTAGCCATGGAGTATCCGGTGATAGAGTACCTCTTCCCACCTCTTCCAGTCACGGAAGAAGAATCGGTCTGCCAGTGTCTGGCAGAAGACGAGACCCCAATCGATGAAGAGGAACCTGGCGAGTGTACCTGCTCGACCGGAGGTGGCCCTATCGAAGAGGAAGAGCCTGAAGAGTGTCAATGCAATTCGGGAGCTGCTCCAGCTGAGAAAGATGACTCCGGTGTCTCCAACGCATCAGAAGATCCATCCAAAGCGTCAAAGAAGTCTTCACCATCAGTCCAGAAAGAGGACTCTGGAGTTTGCAGGTGCAGGTCGAAGACTCCGTCTGGCGGGTCCAAGACTCCATCGAAAGACTCCAAGAGGTCTTCGCCATCGGTCCAGAAAGAGGACTCTGGAGTTTGCAGGTGCAGGTCGAAGACTCCGTCTGGCGAGTCCAAGACTCCATCGAAGGACTCCAAGAGGTCTTCGCCATCGGTCCAGAAAGAGGACTCTGGAGTTTGCAGATGCAGGTCGAAGACTCCGTCTGGCGGGTCCAAGACTCCGTCGAAAGACTCCAAGACGTCTTCGCCGTCTGTCCAGAAGGAGGCCTCTGGAGTTTGCAGGTGCAGGTCGAAGACTCCGTCTGGAGGATCCAAGAGGTCAACGCCGTCAGTTCAGAAGGAGGACTCTGGAGTTTGCAGATGCAGGTCGAAGACTCCGTCGAAGGACTCCAAGAGGTCGATACCGTCGGTGAAGGAAAAGGGTGTCCGCAAACCCGAGGGAGGTCAACCGAGGACGGAGGTGACGCAGACAGAGATCACGCAGACAGAGGTCACGCAGACGGAGATCAGACAGATAGAGGTGAACACGTTGACGATCCAGGCGGTGACGCAGACGGTAGCCGACGTGGGAATGCAGACGCAGTCGCCTTCGCTGCTCAGACAACCACAGTCCAAGGTCGGCAGCAGGGTCATCGAGCAGGAGACCGTGGAGCGGCAGACTCGGAAGAAGACATCCCAGGAGCCATCGGGTATGATGGTGGCCGCAACCTCTCAGACCGAGAAGTCCAGCTTCCTCAGGATCCTGCAGACCCTGAAGACCACGGGAGCCTACTCGAAGGCGGACCCGGAGAAGGAGCTGAGGAGCATCAACTACGGCAAGAAGTCCGAGGACGCCGAGGCACGGTGCAACTGTTGCCTGTGTGGTAAGGACACTCTTCAGGATCAGAAGCCCGTGGAGGCTCCGACGTCCTCCGTGATGAGACTGCTGCAGGCCCTGCCTTTGTTGAGCAAGGCTGCGACCAGTGTCGACCAAGGTGTCCAACACGAGTCTTTCTGCCAGCAGTGCAAGATCAAGAGGCTCCAAAGATCGGCTGACGGGTCCACCGTCAAGGAGCCCAAGCAAATCCAGACCACGCGGGACCAGGAGGTCGCCACTTCCAGGTCGACCCTGAAGCAATCTTCCAGCAAACAAAGAAGATCCAACGATTCCGTTATGGCGAAGATCAGAGTTGAGAAATCGCCGAAGCGCAGGTCGACGGAGGAGAAGCGTCTGCAGGAAGTTGCCGAAGAGATGCCTCAACGGAAACCTGAGAACGGGTGCAAAACGGAGGACGCTGTACACTGTGTCTGCAACACCTTCGGTGTAGCTGGGATGAAGAAGATGCGCTGCGCCTGCGGTGATCCCGATTGATCCACATTTTTGGTTTCCCAAGGAATGGACAGGAAGACAATGGCGAATGGAACAGGACTCTTATCGAGCGCCTCGCCATCGTGAGCTTTAGACAAGTTTTACGTGAAATCTCGGCATTTAGCGGGTTTTATTAACTCCTCTGCCGCATGGTGAATCCCTCGATAATAATTCATCAGACGCTAAACCCCCGTAAGAGGATTCAATAAACCCCGGAACTTTCGAAATCGCGATTTACGAGCCGCCAGAAATTGTTGATGTTCGCCGGGCTGCAACTCCCAGGCAAAAAGTCGGACGGCAACGTACGTGTGCTTTTTTTAAAGCTTGAATCTTCCGCTCTCGGTGTGCATACGTTATTTTTTATTTAGAGTAATTTTTTATTGAAAACAGGCCGGAACAGCGGGTAGATATTTTTGGTAGATTTTTTAAAGTTTCATAGATTTAGAAGAAGGCAGCAACTTCGATAAATTTTTTTCGCGTATGCAATTTATGTCGTTTTGAAGACGGAAGTTTCTGCTTTCCATCGAGTCCAAAAGGATCGATCTACGATTTTTTTTCGCAGTTTCGCAGCACTTCGAGCGAGAAGTGTGCCACCGAAGCGAGGATAACTCAAGCAACGGGTGACATATTTCACGTTCCCCATTCGAAGTCGCATAAGTCGGTAACAGAAAATCGTAGATCAATTTTGTTGAACTCGTTGCAAAGCCAAAGCTTCAGCCTTCAAAATCATATAACTGATAGTCTTCAAAAAAAATTTTTCTAATCCACACAAATCCGTGAACATTTAAAACCTTAAAAAATGACAATTTCTGCATTTTGCACGTTTCCCATACGAACGAAATTTTGTATTGAGAAACCCTTTCGGTATCTTGAGAGAGGAAGCTTCACCCTTTAAAACGATCCCAGGTACATCGTCGTACGATTTTTTCCCACAAAGTTGCAACGCCTTGAATATCAACAATCCTGCGAGACTTGCAATTCCGACAGACTTTAATTAGAATTTTTAATCATAATAGCTTTCAAATGGACCTATTAAATTGCAATAAATCTTTTAATTCGAACTCAAGTTGCGATAAAAGTTTCTTAGCGATCCCTAAACAATTCGTTAAAATCTCCTCTGTTCGTCAATTTCTCGGGTCACGCCTGACCCGGGCGCCGCAGGCTGGCACTAACGCCGCGTTCTGGTCAGCAGGTGTCCGGATAACGAAACGAAAGGAAACCTGGAAAAGCCGCGGCCCGAGTGTATCGCGAGCGTGCAGCAAAGGCTTCCGGCCGAGTGGACACTGGAAGATAGAATCGAAGATAGACGCGACAAAGGAAATGGTATGTAATTTCCAATAACGTGGCAGTCTGAATGGTGGCCGCGTAAAATCAATAGCGGCCGAGCCATTGTACGCTAGAATGGCTCGGGGCCCTTTCATGCGGCGTAATGCGTAATAGGATCAGGCATCGGTATAAAATTAAATTTCAGCTTTAGCTCAGCCGAAAATCGTCGGCCGTGCAATCGTCTACATTTTCCGCCGCTGCAATCGAATCGCGCGACTCTGTAACGAACTTACACCGTCCCCTCTGTGTAATGCATGCGCATGCAGTGAAAAATCGTGTCGTGCAACAACAACAAAAAAAAAGAAAAAAAATAGAGAATTCGGTCACTCGTGCTCCGCTGGATTTCCATCCGCGTTTCAGCCGCGTCGATCGATCGGGCCGATCGGACTCCGCGGCCGAAACGAACGCGGGAACGACGCTCGATTCGAGCGCGTTTCCTCGGCCGTCGTCTCTCCGCGACTCGGAAGATCTCGCCTAGCGCGTAGATCACGGCCGCGATGCTCGGTTGGCACCGCCGCGGTCACAATTTGTCGCCAAATCGAAACGAGAGAGATCCGGACGGACGGACGGACGGCCTGAAATAATCGGAGACGGATCGACGAGGAGCTGGACAGCGAGGATACGCATGATTCACGATCAACTTCGCCTGCTATTTTCGACTCGGCTCCAACGAGCCACGAATCGCGGCGGCGGTTTAATCCTCCGTCTATTTCCATCCGTATTTACGCGCCACGGAACAAGAGACGTTTGATTGTCACAAAAAGAAAAATATTAAAAAACGAACAGAGTGTCTTATTTCTGAACGTATGGACAGTGGTTCGATTCTCGAGCGATGTTAACGCGCCCCGACCAGAAATGAGAGAACTTTCGTCGCGCCGAAAGTTATTAGAAAATGAATATTCTCTGATTTTTAGATTATCGAAAAGTATTTCAGTTTTCAATGCTGGTCCAGTTGACTGAAGTCGTTTTTTAAGGTTCGGGGAAGATCGAGAATCTTTTTCAAGAACCAGCCTTAAGGACAGCCTTTTTTGATCGCTCGAAAAAATATCAAGAAACGAACAGCGTCTTTTTTTTGTATTACTGAAAAATATTTCAATTTTCACTCGAAACTCCAGTTGCCTAAAAAAGAGCTGGAAATGACAGACTTTCGATCAATTCGAAATATTTATAAAGGCGAACGGTGGTGTCTCGTTTCTGAGCGATTGAAAAATTGTTCGATACTTGTGGATCATTTTGTCTCGAATTCTCCGCGGAGAACCATAAACGTACCGGAAGAATAATAGCAGCATGAAGTTCGCCTGAATGGTATGTATGAGAAACGGTGAATAAACGTCCTCCAAGATGGTTGTGCAGTCTCATTGGACATTTGACTGATCAATACTGCGAGCAACAAGTACCCCACGACGTAAGCCACCGCAATCAATCATTTCGCAACTGTTCAGCAGAATCCGGGCTGTTGCTTACGGGCTACTTAATATATACTTAGTGCTGCTAATTAACTGTGGCGATCTCGGAAGGGCTGGTGAAGAAAAAAAATGAGCAATGGAGTTTCAAACTTCGGTGTCTTCATAGAAAAACTTGTGCAGCCGTTAATCTGGTTTCTTGTCGAACTATCGTTACGTTTAGGGATTATAAACATGACGAGGGGGGAGTTCCGTTTAAGAATTTTAGTTAAGTTTCTATATAGATAGTATTAATTTAATTATGCGTTGCTACGTATTTTATTAACGGAAGCTCTGCGAAGACCCACGCAAAATTGTTGATCTTTGAGAGGCTGTAATTTCGTGAAGCAAAATCGGATCGCAATCTAATTTAGCTTGTTTCGAAGCTCGGAGCTTCTACTTTGAGCAGAATATAGCTATTTTTTATTTAGAATACTTTCTTTATTGGAAAGTTGTCGGAAAAGTGGAAGTAGTCATTTTCTTAAATTTTGGAAGTTCATGTACCCGTGTCAAGGTGTAAACAATTTTTCCGATATTAAAGATTATACTCTTTTGAAGACAAAAGTTTCAGCTTTCCAACGAGTACAAAAATAATGATTTACGATTTTTTTTTCATCGTTTTATAGCACTTTGAATGAAAAGTATACTGGGAGGATTCAAATAGTTTGAATAAGGGATGAAAAGAGCACGTTTGTTAGTCAAAGCAGCGTAAATCGGTGAAAAAAAATCGCAGATCAATATTTTTGTACTCGTTGCAAAGCTGAAACCTTAATCTTTAGAATGGTATAATATTTATCCGAAAGAAAAATTTGTTGAACTTCGTAGAGGTCCGTGACTTCCTAAACCTTCGAAAGATCACTACTTTAAATCACTCGCCTAATCTTTCTTAAAAAAGTATACCAACTACAAAACAACCTTAGGATGCTGAAAGAAGAAGCTTCGCTCTTTAAAATGAGCCAACCATGACAATCGTACGATCTTCTTCCACAAAGGTACAATTACTCGAATATCAACAATTTTGTACCCGAGCCTATTTGTTCTCAAATTCGGGAAGGAAATTCGAAGAGCTCTACCGACTACAAAAAATTTTTCTCCTGAATAAACGATACCCTATCTCAAAGATTAATGTTTTATCTTTCCAACAAGTCCAAAAAACTAGCTCTACGATTTTTTCTCACCGATTTACGCTCCTCTAAATGAGAATCGTGTCGATTATTCGAGTCCTTCGAATCCCGACGGCATGCTTTTCATTCGCACCGCTACAAAACGTTGACAAAAAATCGTAGATCGTTTTCTCTGTGCTCGTTGGAAAGCCGAGACATCCAGCTTCAATTGCATATGAGTCATACCCGGAAAGAAAATTTCTCAGAACGTTTGGTACATCATAGAAAATGCAGATGCCGTACTCACCGAACGTTGGCCAGCGTGTGTCTCCGCGACCTGAGGTTATGGTAGCCCCGCAGCTCGCCGATGCTCCCCTGCTCGGCCTGCATCTTGGCCTGTGCAGTCGCAGCAGCACTGGCGATCACGTGGTGCTGGTGTGCCGGTGCACCTGCTGTTGTGATGCTTCTGCGCGACCGCCAACCCGTTCTGCTGCCGCCGCCGCCGCTCGGGGTCGGCGATTTCTTTTGGCAGGGCCTGGAAAAGTCACAGCACCCCTCCGCCGTATTTCACTGCTAACCTTTTTTAGCTACCCTATCACCGGAACACCTGTTTCCACTGTTTTCCGCGGCGCCGTTCCCACTCGAGTCCGACAACGCTCCCTTTGCGGCACCTACGACATTCTGAATCCGGCCAGGTCCGCGATTGCCTAATCGCGCGGGGAGGCTTAATTAGAGGCCGATTAGGGCTGGGTACGTGGCGGACGTATTTGACGAGGATTCCCGATGATTAAGACGCTGACGATGGATATTATGCATGATCCAAGATTACCGTCCGAGGGATTGGAGATAATAGCTGATCCCCGGAGGGCCGGTCGGCCTTTACAAGATCACGGAATTTCCGGATCGATTGGCCGAGATGGTTTTCAATGGTATTTGCTTTCGTCTGGTTTCGTCGATTGCACTTTTTGAATCGTCGTCAAAAATTGGCTGCGTCGACTGCACGGAATAGAAACCAAGTGGCAACTGCTTTCTTCCTTCAACACTAGAACCGTCGAGCCCTAAACGTGACCAACGGCGTACCGTTTTATAACAACGACGAGATTAGACTTGTTTCCGAAGTTCGTACACAAATTTCTAACAAAAACAATTTCGCGGTGTCAGGAATTGTGAAAGAAAATAATCGGAAGCCAGTACAGCAATGTTTCCCTAACTGACGCTCAGACTGCGCGCAAAAATAGACAATTTACAAAGCGGAGATACGATTATTCGAGCCTTGCAGCTCGTTTTTATAGTTGTTGACAATTCGTAACTATAAAAACGAATCGCAGGACATGGAACAATCGTATCTCCTCTTCCCGAATTGTCTATTTTTGTGGACAATCTGAGCGTCAATTAGAGAGACATTACTGTGATTTCGACTGGTTTTATAGGCCCAGCGTTGATCAACTTAATAGATTAAAAATAACACATTGACGATTCGAAAGTCTTTCAATGTTTGCGCTAATCGAAATTGCAGCTACCGAATTCTGCTATAAAATAAAATATAAAAATATATAAAATATATATCTACAGTAAAGAAAAATAATTTATAAAAATCTGTAAGAATCCGCAATCTAGTCTTTTAAAAATACTGCAACCAAATAGGTTTTCAATTTGAATCTACCAGCCTCGAACGGTTTCTGTGAAAAATTCGCGTAAATCTCGGAATCGTCTTCGACGCTAACCGGAACGGCGGCTGAACCGCCGAGAACTGTTTACAGGATCCTCTGTACAGCTAAATCACTGATCCACCGGTGCCGTCCAGGTGGCAAGATAGCGCGTTAATCCCCGTGAGCGTGTCAGGTGTTTGGACTCGAACGGAACACAAAAGCATCGGTGGAAAGTAATCCGCGGGCAAACAATCCGGCGTTGTCCTAATGAACGCGACGCGGTGGCGGCCGTCGAGAGTAGGGCCGGGAGATACTCGTTGATTAAAGGATTGTCCTGGAGGATTCGCCGGATGAGACCCGGCGCGTCATGAAATATTCATGGGATCGAAGCGGGACCCCGCAACGGTGTATCTTTCGCGGCCGGTTACGAGCGTTAATGAAAAGCGCCGAGTAATTCGGCGAGGCCGACACCATTGACGACAATTTCCACTTGCCCTCGACGTCCAACGGGGGACCGGGAACCGTCCGGTGGGATTCGTTCACAGGTATCATAAATATTCATGGCGACTGGACACCGTCACTCTGGTCGCGAACGCCGACGGCGGCGACGCGGTGCCCGCGCGCGAGTTGGAAGAAGAAGAAGCAAATAACGAGACGCGCGGGACGACGTGTTCGTTCGGCGAGCACCAGCAACGTTCTGGGTAAACACGCGCGACGGGAATCGTCGAGGATAAATATTTTCGTTACATCCTGTTCCCTCTCGGCCGGGAAACGGCTCTGTGTACAATGGAGAACGCGGGGACCTAATGAGTGGCTGAAAACTGCTGGCGGCCGGCCAAGCGGCCACGATTGACTTGGAGATCAACCAGATCTTCGTAACCTATGCTTCTTGAATGGTGGAAGAGCGGTCTTGTTAGCCGGGGCAACTTTAGCCACTTACACGCCGGTGTCCTGTGGCGAAGTTACGCGGGGACTGAGGGAGTCTCCGGAACTTACCGAGACGTTTCGGTTGAAGCGCGGCGCGACAGGTCAGTTCATTAGGAATGGAGACTGCGTTCGAGTAATTAAGGCCCTGTATTAGAAACTCGTTCGAACGCTGCCCCACGTTGTTCGAGCTTGTACTTGGCAATTAACGAGCATTCTGGACTGTTGGATGCTGGCTGGGTTAAATGCTAGGAGCTTGGATTTGTTCGGAGTTCAGAATTGGGACTGTGCGTCTGTTCTGGAGAAGGTATTAGGACCTTGTGCTAAGTCTAAGTAAGTCTAGGGTTCTTGTTTTAGTCCGGAATTAATTCTGAGGTCCTTGTTTTGATCCAGAATTAATTCTCAGGTCCTTGTTTTAATCCAAAATTACGTCTAAGGACATTGTTTTAATCCAAAATTACGTCTAAGGACATTGTTTTAGTCCAGAAGTAAGTCTGAAGACCTTATTTTAATCCAGAATTACATCTAAGGTCCTTATTTGAATCCAGAATTAAGTCTAAGGTCCTTGTTTTAATCCAGAATTATGTCCAAGGACATTGCCTTAATCCAGAATTAAGTCTGAAGACCTTATTTTAATCCAGAATTATATCTAAGGTCCTTATTTG